AAAATCCTTAGGTGAGAAAATTCTTCTAAAAAACTACTAAAATATAGGGGTGTCTAGAAAAATTTTTAATAAAAGATTTTATTTACTTTATTCCTTTCAATTTTTTTAGGTGATAATTGTGAAACAATTAACGTAATTAAAACATAATTCAAATGAATAATAAACTGTATAACATAATAATAAGGATTATATTTTTCATATGCATATTCTACTTGATTATTTACAATACATAGTTTTAAATGCAAATGAAATTTTTGATGATAGGATTTTAAGGAAACTCGAGTAGTAATTCCTGAGAATTCCCTATATGAGAAAAGTTTTCTAAAAATTATCAAAGTATTAAAATATTTAGAAGTTTCTTTTCAATACGAAAAATTTTCATTTTATCATTATTCTTAATATGAATTTTTTTTATGAAAATATACACTTTTAGAAATAAATTTGTTTATAGATAATAATATTATTAAATAATTTTAAAGTAATGAAAATTTTTGATGATAAGATTTCGAGAAGTCCGAGTAATGATTCTCGATAATTTCTTAATTGAGAAAAATATTCTAAAAATTGCTATAGTATTGGAATTTAAAAGTTTCATTTCAATAATTTTTTTTTTCAATTTCTTAATTATTTTCTTTGAACATTTTTCTTAATAAATAAGAATGTGTTTTTTGGAAATAAATATATTTGTAGATAATTGTATTATTACATGACTTTTAATAAATTTTAAAAACAAATGAAAAATCTCCGAGGATGAGATCCTAAAAAATATTTGAGTAGTAATTCTTTAAGAATCTTTAGGTAAGAAAATCTATCTAAAATGTCGTCAATGTATTGGAGCATTTAGATTAATTTTCGATAAAAATTTCTCGTTCTTTTATAAATGGTATAAAAATGAGTTTTTAGAAAATGCTATTTATTTTTAAAATTATAGATATCATATTTTATGAAAAATAAATATGAACCATCGATGATAGGATTTTTAAGAATTTCGAGAATCAATTCTTAAAAAGTCCTTAAGTGAGATGGTTTCTTTTAATATTGTCAGAATATTGAAATATTTTTAGGAATTTTTTCAATAAATGGTTCTTATTTATTCAAGCTTACTAAAAATTAAAAATATGTTTTTAAAGAAAATTAAAAATATGTTTTTAAAGAAAATTAAGAAAATTAATTTTTAAAGACCAAAATTAAGACCATTTTTATCAATATTAAAAGATAACACATAATTAATTGGTATTGTTTTAAGCAGGTATCATAGGAATGCTAATCTTTCCCCACGCGTAACCAACTCCTGAACCCAAACTATTTTCACAAATCCTAAAATTATCTTTTTAATAAATTTTAATTAATTTCAAATTTTGATTAAAAAAATAAGTTTTAATAGGTGGTCAATCACAACCAGCCAAAAAAGATTAGAGGTGACTCCTTCATTTTGTTTTCAAATTCATAAAGTAGTCCCAAAAATCGTTACGACATGTACATATACAATATGATTTGAAAGGTATGTCGGACAGATGATTGGCTTTCTTGCACAAGCAATCACCTCAATGGTTTGACATTATAAAAATGAGATTAGTTTTAAGCTATGAATTGAGAGCCTAAGCTTAAAATGGAATCGCCTTGATAAGGGATCAAGATGATGTCACTTGATATTGATATTTGTGATAAAAAATTAATAATCTCTCAATTCACTTTGTCTGTCCTAAATGTCAAGAGAAATTCTTATTGATTATGTGAAATTAAGTAGAGTTATAGATTCAAGTTAGATACTGAAAGTATTTGAACTATCACCTATACGGTATTGATATCTAATGATTAAGAAATACACTCCATAAAAAAATGGGAGTAATATCGTAACATGTGTTTCATACCACATATGCATTATTCAACCAACAAAGATAACAAAAGAATAGATATATGCTTCTTATTGTATGAAATCTTTGAGATTAAAGGATCTTATATTTAGTACCCTTAAGGACTTTTGATTATTTCTTAAAGTTTAATCCAATATTAGGTATCTTGGATTATTGCCAATACTCATGGTTGATTCGATCTAATAAGACATATTTGAATTGCAATTGAATTGAAATTGAGAGATCCTAGAATAAAAGAATATCATTCTGGTGTCACATTTGGTTGTATTCATAGGCTTTCCAATTATATTTGAAACATTAAATATAAGTGTGAATACACAAGTATATCATGTAACATGATGAAAAAGAGATCACGAGGAACTTGAAATGTGACTGAATGGATACAAAGTGTTGCATACTTACGTTACTTATACTTGAGAGTTACTATACAAACCTAACAGTTGTATAAGTGATTAGATATGATTTTAAGCTGCTATATGCACCTAATAATTGTATAGCAACTAAGCTCATGAAGTATGCTGATTGCACAGCTTATTTTCTTGTATGAACTCATTGTAAAGAGTAGAGAAAACTTTACCACCCATTCTATGCAAGTGGAAGATGTTGGAAAGTGTTGGTCCAACAATTCATGGGTTAAATGGAACCAACACTATTTGTTTTGGGCAATTAAATATTGATTTGATTTTGATTAAAGAAAAAATTGTCTAAGTAGTTAACTTTGGTGATTTAAATTCAAAGATAGTCAACTATCTCAGGTATTTCTTCTTCTTACAAATGGCATTTTGGCCATAGCAAAATAAAAGAGAAAATAATGGCATTCGACCATTACATGGGGATGATGAAAAGGTTCATTCCGTGTCTCTTCCTCTCTTAATATTTAGCATGGAATTCGATTATGCTGAAATGATGAATAAGTTCTTCCAAAACCAAAAATGAGATAAGTCTCATTTATATATGGGTTTATGTAATAAGTTACATAGTTAACAAGAGAGGAAAAGAGAGAGAGATTGGTAAAGTAAAAGAATAAGACATTCCTTATGAACTTTCCTTGAAATCTCTTACATTGGTGTTTAAGGATTTACACTATGGATGTAGACAATTTTTGAATGCATAATCTTGTTCACAATCAGTTAATCAAGTCAACCTTGTTTCCATAACTTTTTTGTAAAAAATGCTTCCGCTATGCTTTTGCAATTCAAGCAAATTTTCCACATTATTTTCAATATACAATCTTGTTTATATTATATTATTATATTATTCTTCAGTCCATGGTTTGATGTCTGTAGATTAATCATCATTTATGTTTTTCTTTCGTTAGGACATGGTTCTCAACTCAGATTTGGTTCATTGTCGAGCTAAATGCCTTTTTTAATAGAAAATAAATATAAACACATATAGAAAATAAATATAAACACATATAGAAAACCCTTGAAAGGGTTTTTACATGTTATATTGAATATCAACTTCCCAAAACAGAAGTGGATGCATGAAAAGTGCTATAAAATAAGAATAATAATGAAATCATATTAGATTTAATTTAATTTTTTAATAATGGGGCCTTTTAAATGCACCCCATCTTTTTTTTCTCTACACCCCATTTTTTTTCAAATTTTTTGTAAGTAAAATTACTTAAATACCCTTCTTATAAGTTTTTGAATATCTACTATTTTTGAGAAGTCATAACACTTATAAAAAATGCATCTATGATAAGCTATAAGATTTTCTCGAAAATGTATTTTCCAAAGTGAAAAAGTGATATTTTAGAAAAAAAAATTACAAAAAAAGAGAATTTTATTAAAATTATTTATAAATAACGCAATGAAAAAAGTTATTATTAAAAAAATCATAAATTTTAAAATTAATTTAAAATGTTACTTTTACTGTTTTGATTTTAAAGGTACAGAAGGGACATTTGCTTTTTTGAGCTAATTAGGCACCATTAAATCTTAATGAAAATAATTATTCACTTGGTTGTTAAAAGTGCAAGCAAGATCTTCAGGGAATAAGTCGTTGGGAGCATAACCAATTGAGTTAAATCAGGAACTTAGTTAACATCCCTAAATATGATGATTTTATGCTTGCTGAACTTTTTGATACTGTTTTAGTGAGTAAAAAAGTAGGAAAAAAAATCACAATTGCCATGTTATCAACCTCGTACAAATTTGGGATCCTTTGGGAAGGGTGTTGAAAAAATTGAAACTAACTCGAAATTTAAGATTTTTTTGACTAGCATTGCATGCTTATGAATAAAGAAGTAGTATAAGTAATATTACTAAATACTATATAATTTTGTCAAAATCTAATATGTTAATTGAAAAAACTTATCATGATAAATAGATAGAGAGATTTCTACAAAAAGTTTAATTTAATTAAAGTTATTATAAAATTTTAATAATTGATAAAAAATATTTATTAAAAATTGATAAATTTTAAATTTATAAAAAAAATTATATTTGTTATTTTATCTTTAATTTAATTAGGCTCTCATAAGATATTATTCTTTTTTTAAGATGAAAAACATAAAAGTAACTTTTTTATTAATTTTAAAATTTATGATTTTTAATAATAATTTTTTTATTACAATTATTTACAAATAATTTTAACAAAAATTATTTTTTGTAAAGTTTCGTAAAATTTTGCTTTTAACACTTTTGGAAATGCATTTCCAAGAAAATTTTTTCTCTTTAAAATTTTTAGTAATTTTACTTATAAAAATTTTTTAAATAATAAGCGTATAGAAAAAAAATCAAGAGAGCATTTAGATTTTCTTTTTAATAATATATAAAATTATAAATTTTTAAAATTCAATTCAAATTTGAATCAAATTTTTTTATTATTTAAACTGAATTTTAACAATTTAATTCGATTCATCAATTTTTAAATTATTGAATTTTTATTTTTTATATATTATTTTAATATAATTTTTAATATATTTAAATAAATTTTAATATAAAATAATTATTTTATTTTATAAAAATTTAAAATATATATAAAAACTAATAAAATATATAATTAAATTCAATTTATTATTTTTATTTCTACTTCTTATCTAAAATAAAATCTGAATCTATTATATAAATTTAATTCTAACCATATGAAAAAATTAATACAAACCGAACCCAATATTACAATTTTAATTGATTTTTTCCTATTTTTTCTATACCCCTGCCACAAAAATTTCCAGCTGTTTCTTTCTTTCGGTTCCACTACGTTCTCTCTCTCTCTCTCTTCCCATATCTCTATAAATTTCTTCAAATCTCCATACCTTTTTCCATGCCTTTTCTCTCGGTACGGTTTCAGAATCTCCTTTCAGTTTTTTGTTCTAGAGAGAGAAAACACTAAGCGACACTGTCGATTTCTACTAACCTCAACTTCAGATTCGGATCTCTCAAGTGTTCCAACCAGGACACGATAGTTGCTGTCCGTTTCCCCCTGATCCGATCCGGTTCTTTTATCCAAAGTTTTCAACGAGAGATTCCTTTTTGTTTGTATAGTTTCGTTTAACTTTGATCGAAAATGCTGCCTCTTTCATTCCCTCTCTGTTGCATCTTTTATCAGCTTAAGAAATGAGGCGATTACTTTGAAAAGTAACTGTAAGATTTTGACTCCTCTCCGATTTTTCTTTTCTTTCCTTTTATGCTGATTAAACTTACCACTGTAAGTGGATATCTCAGCTCAATCATGATAATTTTTGCTTCTTATGGATATTAATGTATTCATTTTTATTGGAAAATATTGAACCTGTGAGAATTACAAGAGTTAATTTGTCTATTATTTGATTTAATGGCCAGTTAAGAATTGTTTAGAGGGAGGAATAATTATATTGTTATATACAAAAGTTAAATTTCGAAGTTAGAACACTTTGGTTGTTTTTAATTTTGTAATGTTTCTGATATTTGTATGCAACATTGTTCGTGGGTTTGAAGATCTAGCATTAAAAAGCCAACAGCGGACCAATTTAGATGGTGTGCAGCAGCTGTGTCAGGAGTATAATTGTTCAAACTGCGCATATAGGAAAAATATTAACCCCGAAAAGGGTGCATTTACAAAGTATTGGAAGGAATTTATATGTCGCTGCTGGAGGAGTAAAGTTTTGGTGGAATCGTGAATTCCGGACGAATGCTAGGATGATGGTTCATTCAGGTGCAACAGCAAACCAGGGTCCCGTTGTGGATATGTTTCTGGAGAAAGATGATGATGGTGGATATGTTAGCGGACGGTGGAAAAGGTAAATATTAGTTAACCCGTTTTAAACAGTTGTTTTTCATGCACATTACACAATAAGGACAGCCAATTTTTGTGAATGTTATGATTTGTTTAGAACCAAACATGGTTGTTGTTGATTCTAAATTTTTAAATATGATTTTGTTTCTGAATAAATGTTGCTAGGAGTTGCTTTTATGCTGGTGTTTTTAGTCAGATTTGATCTTTTCTTTGCTTGTTTGGTTCAATGAATGTGTTGCCTAACCATGGAAAGCTAGATGTTATGTTGGTAGCGTAAGCTGCTGACTATTTATGTAATATGAGAGATTTAATAATTTCAATTTTACATGTGTTGATATTGTAAGTACAGTCTCATAAAATTGCACTTGGTTTCATAGTGAAATAACCAAAATAGGCTTTTTTAGTAAATTTCTTTTCACCTATTTGTCTTTACTTTCGTACAATGGTTCCCCAATTATTGGAGGACTGAAAGAAGGAATAGTTTCTTACCTGCAAGACTTGTAATACAATCATTTTCATTTCTTTTACTTTCCAAAATCTCCATTGTCACAAGTATTATCCTCTTCAAGTTCTTAACGTAAACCATGCAACTCACTTGAATTTCTACATTTTGTGTGCTATCATCATTCCTTTCCTTCTCATACATGAATGGCATTTTATTTGTTGATTTAGATTATAAGAGTGTTAAAATTTTCAAGGTCTTTTTATTTGTATATGTGATGCTTTAATTAACTTTAGATTTAAAACCACACTTACATGGTAGGTTTCTTGTCTGATTTGGCAGTGAAGATGGAAAATTAAGCTGTGGCTATTCAAGTTTCAGGGGAAAGAGAGCAACCATGGAAGATTTCTATGATATTAAAAATTCCAAGATTAATGGGCAGGCAGTCTGCATGTTTGGAATCTTTGATGGTTAGATTCTCTCTTATCGTCTCTCGCCTTGTGGAAGGATATGAAATTAAAAATATTACATATATACTGGAACCCATTTTGTAAAAACACTTAGAAGGCACCATCTAACATGATGATCAGCAAAGAACTCAGTCTACAATTTGGGGCTAGCCTTTCCTTGGATCTTGGTTTCCACTAACAGAATACTGGTAGTGCAACATATGCTTAAAAATACGAGTTTTATCGTTGGTATGATATGTACATGGTTTATAGTCTATGCATGAGCCATATAAACATGTGTGGTAGGATAGTGTAGTGGTACATGCTTACAACTAATTTGTGGTGCAAGCATCCAAAGTTGCCTGGGTCAAACAAACCTACTTTTAAATTCTCTGTCTAAGCTCTCTTGTGATTTCATTTAAATCAGGAAAATCATTATGATATTATGACAATCAATCTGTATTATTTTTGTTTTATATCTCAATAGTGCCTCTGGATGAATGATTTGAGTTTCGACCATGTATACTATCTGTCATCCTGATGATGCGCTTTTGGATGACAAGTAACATTTCTCGAGAGCAAGATGTCTTTGATATCTGAAATGACTGTTCTTTTTGCCCCTCCATTTAACCACTATTATGTGCAATCGCAGGGCATGGTGGTTCTCGTGCTGCTGAGTATTTGAAGCAACACCTTTTTGAGAACCTAATGAAGCATCCACAGTTCATGACTGACACCAAACTTGCCATAAGTGCGTTCAAGATCTCTGATGATGTGCTCTGTTTATGGAGCATTTAAATTGCTGCATATCCTTTGTTGTCTGCACTTTATAAAGGATCCATGCATTTACAAGTACTTTTATCTCTTTCTTGTTCTGAGTCTTCAAGGGATGGGGCTGTGTCCTACATAAAATGATTGTCAACCCATTTGAATTCTCTGTTATTCATTTTGGTTTCATTGGGTATGCTTGCAGGTGAAACATATCAACAAACTGATATCGATTTCTTGGATTCTGAAAGAGATACTTATCGAGACGATGGTTCAACTGCTTCAACAGCAGTGTTGGTTGGTAACCATCTATATGTTGCCAATGTTGGAGACTCAAGGACTATAATATCCAAGGCCGGAAAAGGTATTCTATGCATTTTTTATTGCATATTAATATGTTACTTTGAAGTGCATTAATATATGCATTAGCATATTTTGCTTTTAAATACTATAAATTGAAGATTATCATGAGATGGTTCTTATGAAATTGCTTGAGGAAAGGGCCCGGTAAAGGGAAGAAGGTCAGGCCCCATATTCTGAAAGCATTTGAGTTTTTCTTTATGTTGTCCTTTATTTATTATATATAGATAAATAGTCATGTTAAAGCATGGTATTTTGTATTTAAACTTGGTGGATTATCTTAAACTACTCTTGGGTATGCTTAAATCATTAATAAGTATGAACTGTATATGATATGAAATGCATATTACATTTTGAGTGACTGTTATATCTTATATATGACACTTATGGCTTTATTAGAGTAACCTGCACTTGACATTAAATGTTGAGAATTCTGAACTTATAATGGGATTCCTAAAAGCAGCTTCTTTTTCCTTTTAAAGCAATCCCTCTCTCCGAAGATCATAAACCAAATAGAATTGATGAACGGAAGAGAATCGAAAATGCTGGAGGGGTGGTTATGTGGGCAGGTAAAACTGTTAACAATTGTAGCTTGTCTTATTGAAGTCAAAATAACTATTTTCCTTTATTTCTGGTACTTAAATCGGAAGAACTGAAAGTTTATGGTGAAAATTTCTTGTTGATCATGTTATCAGGAACTTGGAGGGTAGGAGGTGTGTTAGCTATGTCTCGAGCTTTCGGTAATCGCATGTTGAAGCAATTTGTTGTTGCAGAACCAGAGATCCAGGTGATCCTCAAAATTATATGTTAATAAGCTAGTAATTTTTAATCATCTTAATTGCTCTCATTACATTTAATTTTGCCATTACTTTCTCCCATTGCATTGCCTTGTGTTTAATTGTAGGGACTCATTTAGGAAAAACATCATCTCATGAGAAAATGTTTTTTATTTTCATCATTCCTTATTGACCACAACTATCCAAAAGTCAAATGTGTTAGAATTAGACATTGAAGTAAAAATGTGCTCATTGTTGTTTTTTAATTTGACTGTAATGGTAAATGCCGTTGCCTTATTCCACTTTTTCTTGCTCCATCCTCTTCTATCCCTTGATTTCTGTTATCTATGGTGATCAGACTACAAATTATTCTACAACACAATTCATATAGAATTTGAGTTCATGATGGTAGGTTATGAAAATTGGATTAATGAAATTTCTATTTCTTAATGTTTATTTCTCAGGATAAAGAGATAGATGAAGAGTTTGACTTGCTTGTGCTTGCTAGTGATGGATTATGGGATGTAGTGCCTAATGAGGTAAACTTTCTCTGACATATGCGTTCAAATGTGCTGATGTGCATTGTTGCACTTAATTATCCATCTACACATCAAGCATGCACTTGGTTTTGTTATTGAGCAACGTTTAAGAATAAAGTACTAGTTATTCAGGACAATTGAACTGATGAAAGGGAAAGAAAAATAAAAGGGACAAAACCAGCTCAAACGAGCTTTACCGTTTTGATGTTCCATAAAGATTAGATTGGTTGATCTTTCAATGCTCAAGTAACAAGAACATTGGAAATACCTCCTGTACTATTAGGATATTTATCTGCATGTTTGCTTGTTATAAGTTCAAATCATGTTTCCAGGATGCTGTTTCGGTTGGCAGAGCAGAAGAAGAAGCAGAGAAAGCCGCTAGAAAGTTGACAGAAACTGCTTTCAGGCGAGGGAGTGCGGACAATATAACATGCATTGTGGTGAGATTCCACCATGACAAGGCAGAATCAGTTAATCCCCGAGCATAATTGGAAATCCTTATATTATTGCATTTGCATGTGTAGATTTATTGATAATTTAGGTAGTTTTAATTTTGAAATCTGCATGTGACTTATGGCCAATGTGCATATACGAAGGAGAGAATTTGTTTATTCATTGTTTTATTATTTCCAAATTGTTCTCTAGTACGGAATACGTGGACCTTGTCCATAATATAAACACACTCGTGTGCTCATCTCCCTGTTTAGTTGAAATCTAATAAAACCATGTCTAGTTAATATATTAAGTGATCATCTGATCTAGGTGTGTGGAAATAAAAGGGTTTTTTTTTTCACAAAATTTTCGGGCAGAAATTTTCGAACTCGGTTGGTTTGTGAGATTATTTTATTAATAAAATTATTTTATTTTATTTTATTTTAAAATATATTTAAAATAAAAACATTTTTAAATGAAAAGGACTTAGCTACGTGGGTCGGGCAACTTAGTATTTTAGAGGAATCATTGGATACGACTGGGTCTGATCCAATCCTCGACAGCCAAGAGTAAATTTTGGATGCGATGAGAAGCGAGTTAGATAAGGGGAAGCGGGTCCTTTTTCAGGGGGAGGTGGGTGAGTTAGAGATGCAAGGGAACCCGGCCATGGGAGGGCGAAAACTGTTATCTCCAATTGCCATGAAGTCCATGAATCTTGTTATGTTTTTTTCTTCCTTTCAATAATTTTTGTTTGAGAAAATGGGTTTGTAAGCGTGGCCTTTTTAAATCATTGTTCAAAAGAAGATGATTGGGATAACCCTTTAATTTATGCATTTTGAAATTAGCATGTTATAATAACTAATACTAATGCACTCAAAAAGACAGACAATGCTTTGATGTTTTGAAGCAATTTGAAGCTGCGCCAAAATGTAGTATACAAATATGAAGCATAAATATAAGTCGTAAATAAACTAAGAAGAAGTATACAAATATGAAGTATAAATACAAAGCATAACTAAACCATCTGCAAGAATTCACTGGCAGTGATGATAGTACTTAAATTACTTATTTCTTTCTTTACATTGCATTATTAGGATAATTATGGCGATAGTTCTAAGAACAAACTCTCTGTTGATAATTATCACATTTGCAAAGTTATATAATAACTAGTTTTTATCCCACGTATTTCGTTGCCCAACAACTCCTTTTTTTCTCTCTCTCTCTCTTTTTTCTTCCAAAACGCATGTTCGGTGGTTTTTCAAATTGTTGAATTTTGATTAAAAGTAAAATGGTCATTTTACAATACTGATAGGTGTTACAGTATAATACCTTTGGGGATTCTAAAATTTGTAAATATGGTTTTTAATTTTCATATTTTTTATTTTTTATTTACATTTTAGGTTATTTTATTTTCGTTAAAGGGTAAGATGATAATTTTATAATGTTGAAAGGGACAAAATGGTAATTTAATGATGTTAAACAGGTGTCAAAATATAATCCTTTTAGGAATTATTTTAATATATTTTTAAATTTTTATTTTTAACATTTTAGTTTATTTTATTTTATTAAAAGATAAAATAATCATTTTACAATATTAAAAAAATAAAATAACCATTTTATAATATTAGCCAGGCGTCAAGGTATAATCCTTTAGAAATTCTTTTAATATTATTTTAAATTTTTTATTATTAAAAAATTAATATATTATCTTATTAAAGGTTTAAATTATCATTTTATAATATTGAAAAAAATAAAATAATTATTTTACAATACTAAACATGTGTCACTCCTTAACTTTTCTGGAGATTATTTTAATAGAAAATTATAGAATTAAAAGATAAAATTATCATTTTTTAATATTATAAAAAAAAATTTATTTTATAATATTAAACTGGTGTCAGTCTCTAACCCTTGGAGAATTCTTTTACTAAAAAGTTATAGATTAGCTAACGATTATTACTTTTATCTAACATATAACCATCGGAGGGGTTGAAGTAACAATGGTTTATATCTTACATTTAATACCGAAAAGCATACAAAATAAATTCTTTGGTTTTTTTTTTACAAAATGATACTTAAAAAAATTAAATTTTTTACATATATATATATATATAACTAGATTTGACTATTTTTTAAAAATATCATATGCATTTTGATCAATATTTGGTGCATAAGATAATTAATAAGATAAGATGATAATTATTTTATATAATATTTGATTTATATCTAAACAAAAGAATATGATTACAAGGAAAATTAATATTCTTTTGATATAAGATGATTTAATCATCTTAAAGTGGAGAAGATAATTTTAATTCATAGAATTAAACTTATATGTCATATTATATCGTTAAAAATTATATCAATAATTAAATTATATAAATTTTGAAGAAAGATAATTTTGATTAATAAATAAATTATTTTATCTTAATTTTTACACACATCAAATATAAGTTAGAATGACATTATTTAATTTAATCTTATTAATAAGATCATCTCATTCTATCTTATCATAATCTTATGTACCAAACGTATCATTTATGTGTTATATTATTTATGTACATATACCAATACTTTTTTAATTCTTGTACATGTACATATATATTATGCATGTATTTATAAATAAATTATTTTTATTTCACATACCTTCCATGTAAATAATAACATGTAAATTTTTTAATAAAAAATTTATAAAAATAATTTATATAAAAATAAATAATATAAGTAATATAGACAAATAATTAATTTATAAACACAAATAAGAAAATGATACTATTCTTAAGTTTAAAGATTTTCTTTGTGTTTATAAATTAATGTAAGTAATGTAAACAAATTTTAAATCTATCTTTAACCGCTTCAACCCTATCTACTTAATTTATTTGAACATTACACAACTAAGTTTTTATTCTAAATCTACTCTTAACTCTTTCAACCCCTATCTATTATAATTGTTAATGTTTAACCGTTACTGCTTATTTTTATTTAAGTGAATTGTTGCTTATATAATTAATGTAATGAAAATAACTACAAAAATCATTAAAAATTATAATATATTCAATCTTTCACAATTTAAGTGAACTATTATTTATAATAGTGATATTTTAAGTAGTATAAAACTTGCAAAATTCAAACTTCTGAAAATGATAAATATTATAAATTATTTAAATAGTGGTGACGTTAGGTAGAATAAAAGGTATTGGAGTGAAACTTCCAAGTTTTTTTACTACTATATAAATTTAATTATTGTTTATTTTTAATGCATATATATATATTAATTCATATATCTAATCTTTAATTCTAGCATAAATATATTAAAATTATTAGAAATTTAAAAATATTTAAATATCTGAAAGATATGTATTATACATCAAATATAAGAAGGTAAAGCTAAACAAGAATTAAATATATATTTGGCATATAAAATTATAATAAAATAGGATAACATGATATTATAAATAGGATTAAAATAAATAATATCTTCTTATTTTATGTTTAATGTGTACAAGAATTAAGATAAAATAATTTATTTATTGATCAAAATTATCCTTTCTCAAAGTTTATACAATTTAAATTATTAACGTAATTTTTAAAGGTATAACAGGACATGTAAATTTAATTTCATAAATTAAAAATAATCCTCTCTACTTTGAGAGAAGTGAATCATCCTATATCAAAAAGATGATTAATCTTCCTTGCAATCTTATCCATTAGATACAAATCAAATATAATATATGATGATTATCATCCTATCCTATCTATCATCATTTGCATCAAAACAAAATCTAAGGATGTATTTGGTACATAAGATTATAATAAGATAAAATAATATTATAAATAGGATTAAATTAAATATTGCTATCATATCTTGTGTTTGTATATGCAATGATCATGATAGGATAATTTATTTATTGATCAAGATTACCGTTCCTCAAAATTTATACAATTTAAATTATTGATGTAATTTTTAATGATATAATATGACATGTAAGTTTAATCTCATGGATTTAAAAATAATTCTTTCCACTTTGGGAGGATTTAATCATCTTATATTAAGAAGATGATTAATCTTCCTTATGATTCTATCATTTTCTTTATATGCAAATCAAACATAATAAATAATGAGTATCATTCTATTTTATCTATCATCCTATGTACCAAATATGACCTAAGTATATGTTTGGTATACAAGATTATAATAGGATAAGATAAGATGATATTATAATTATGATTAAATTAAATAATGTCATCTTATCTTATGTTTGATATGTGTAATGATTAAAATAGGATAATTTATTTATTAATTAAAATTATCATTCTTTAAAGTTTATACAATTTAATTATTAATGTAGTTTTTAATAGTAGAATATGACACGTAAGTTCAATCTTATGGATTAAAAATAATCATCTCCACTTTGGGAGAATTAAATTATCCTATACCAAGATGATGATTAATCCTCCTTGTAATCCTATCATTTTCTTTAAATACAAATCAAACATAATGTAGAATAATTATCATCATATCTTATCCATCATCCTATGCATCGTATATGATCCAAGGATGTGTTTGATATATAAGATTATGATACAATAAAATATGATGATATTATACTTAGAATTAAATTGAATAATGTCATCTTATTTTATGTTTGATATATGTAAGGATTATGATAGAATAATTTATTTATTGGTTAAAATTATCATTTTTCACATTTATACAATTTAAATTATTGATATAATTTTTAAAAGTATAATAGGACATATAAGTTCAATCTCATAGATTAAAAATAATCCTCTCTACTTTGAAATGATTAAATCATCCTATATCAAGAGGATGATTAATCATTCTTACAATCTTATCTCTTTCTTTATATACAAATCAAATATAATATAAGATAATTAGTATCATATCATATCTATCATCGTATACATCAAACATGACCTAAGGTCATGTTTGGTAAACAAGATTTGATAAAATAAGATAAGATAACATTATGAATAAGATTAGATTAAATAATCTTATCCTATCTTATGTTTGATGTGGGCAAGAATTAATATTGGATAATTTATTTTTTAGTCAAAATTATTCTTCTTTAAAATTTATACAATTTAAATTATTGATATAATTTTTAAAGGTAGAATAGGACATATAAGTTTAATCTCATAGATTAAAAATAATTCTCTACATTTTGGAAGGATTAAATTATCTTATACCAAGAGGATGACAATTCTCCTCGTAATCCTATCTTTTTCAATTAAATACAAACCAAACATAATATAAAATAATTATCGTACTATCATATCCATCATCTTATACACCAAACATGACCTAAGGTCATATTTGGTACACAAGATTATGATAGGATAGGATAAAATAATATTATGAATATGATTATATTAAATAATACCATCCTATCTTATGTTTGATATGTGCAAGGATTATGATACGATAATTTATTTATTAATCAAAATTATCCTTTTTCAAAGTTTATACAATTTAAGTTATTAATATAATTTTTAAAGGTATAAATGACATATAAATTCAATCTCATAGATTAAAAATAATCCTCTCAACTTTGAAAAGATTGAATTATTCTATAGCAAAATGATGATAATCCTTCTTATAATCCTATCCCTTTCTTTAGATACAAATAAAACATAATATATGATGATCATCATTTTATCCTATCCATCATTCTATTGACTAAACATAACTTAAGAACATGTTTGGTGATACACAAGATATGATAAGATAAGATAATATTATAAATAGGGTTAGATTAAATAATATCATTTTATTTTGTATTTCATGCATGCAATGATTAGGATAAGATAATTTATTTATTTCTCAAAATTATCCTTTCTCAAAGTTTATATAATTTAAATTATTGATATAATTTTTAAGGGTATAATTGACATATAAGTTTAATACTATGGATTAAAAATAATTCTCTTAACTTAGAAAAAATTGAATAATCCTATGCTAAGAGGATATTAATTTTTTTTACAATCACTATCCTTCTCTCTAAATATAATCAAACATGATATATGATAATTATCATCATTTCCTATCATTAATCTTATGCATCAAACATTATCTAAGATAATGTTTGGTACACAATATTATAATAAAATAGGATAAAATAATACTATAAATATGATTAAATTAAATAATGACATTCTATTTTGTGTTTGATGTATGCAATGATTAGAATAAAATGATTTATTTATTTGTCAAAATTATCCTTTTTAAAAATTTATATAATTTAAATTATTGATATAATTTTTAAAGGTATAATTGGACATGTAAGTTTAATCTCATAGATTAAAAATAATTCTCTACACTTTAGAAAAATTGAATAATCCTATGCCAAGAGAATATTAATCTTCCTTACAATCATTATCCTTCTCTTTATATACAAATCAAACATAATATAAGATGATTATCATCCTATTTTATTAATAATCCTATACATCAAAGATGACCTAAATATCTAAAATTACCATATTAAATATAGGGTAAGTGACTATTGAGAAAAATGTTTCAATGGGATTAGAATTCTTATTAATATACAAATAAATTGGATAAATTTTACTTTAAAAAAATTAAAATGACAATTTATAAAAATAATAAATAACAATGAAAATTGAGAAAAAAATTCAAAGGAATTAAAATTTTTTTATAAATTAATAAAATCGAGGAAAAATTGTAATTTAGAAATATAATAAATTACAATGCCGATTTTGATTAGTTGAAAAATTTTCAATATTCATGCTTACATATATTACATTATATATTATAGATAATAATAAATTTTATTTGAGAAATAAATTATCTGAATTATTTTTTTTGAAAAAAATGTATATTTATCAATGAGTCAAAATCTCAATTGTAATATATATTTAATCAAATAACAAAAAAGTTGATATGAGGTTAAAAAAAAAAAAAGGCCTATCTTATAAATAGAACCCACTTTGGAGATGTATTGTTATTTTGATCAAATTTATTTCAATAAGCATTTTCTTGTTTTGTAGAATGCAAATAAAAGGTAAATGAAAATAGTGTTAACTCTTATAAAAAGAGATTAAGGTTAGATTTGTCATTATACTATGATTTAATATTGAAATTTATCATTATACTTTTAATTATATTAAATTTTATCAATGTACTTTTAATTTTTTTATTTTAAAAATAGAATTATAATATTTTATAAAATATTTGTTAACATAAATAATATATTTTGTTATTGCACTTGTAATATTATTTCTAGTGATCCACACTACAATGACAAATATGCCGTTAATCCCTATAAAAACATAAACAAAATCTACACTTTATTTATTTTTCATAGAGAATTCGTAATAATAAATATTTCACCTAATTTGGGAATCCTACAAACTCAATACAAGAGTTAAAAACTAACGCTGGTTAAGTCCTTTTGCATCAAAATCCATTATAAAAATGTTGTTTTAGGGTTAACAAAAAAAAAAAAAAAAGGTTAATAAGTAGTAACTATATTAAACCAACCTAATACTTTACTTTCTCAAATTTTTTCTTTTCTTTTATTATCATTTTTTGGGGCAGAAAAAAAAAGAAAAGAAAAAGAAAATTTTCCTCAGGTTCTCAGGGGGTTTTGACAAATGGGTCACTGTACCTTGTGATTCATGCTTGTCTCAGATTCAAAATTTCTTCGCTTCAAAGAGACTTTCTTTAGAAAGGTATATTTTGTATTTATATTTTTATTTTCTGCTAATTATTATTATTTTTTCATTTTTACAAAGAGCATTTCTCTTTTGCTTGTAAATTTTGTGGACTGTTTGTATGGAATCTAGGGTTTTCAGTTTCTACCGGAGAGCTAAATTTGACCGTTACAAAGCTTGTTGAAATCTCATTTAACAGTAGATCCATGGAGACCTGGAAAGTTGAATTTTACTCTTCAGTGTCCTTTCCCAGTAGTTTGAATTTCTGATAGGTTTCTGGTTTTGGTTATTCAATGTGACCTAAATTTCATCTTTTGGTTCCTTTTTGTTTATGCGTAAAGAAATGCTGGTGAAAGTGTATATGAGCGTTGTTTTTTACCTTTTAAAGTTAATTCATCTTGCTGTTTATCGTGACTATTTGGAGTTATTTTGGGTTATCATGTTAAATTTTTATCTTGAGAAATTAGCATTTTGAGGCTTTAGGCTGTTAAGAAAAAGAAACTGGTGAAATTACGCTGGCTTGTTGCACGGTGATTATATGTAGATATAAATGTTACTGTTATTGGGAAATTGAGTTTTTCGACTGCATTCTCTAGATGAAATAGTATGTTGAATAAGTTAGGTTCTTTGTATGTGAGGTATAAAGTTCAAGCATAATATGATGATACTGTTATTGTTACTCATAACTAGTTTGTGGAGTTGTGATCTGCCGAAGAAGAAATAAAAGTGTTGCTTTTCATATATTTAGGAGATATATTGTTGCTATGATTGAACCTTCTGGCTATTCTATGTCTAGAATGTTGGGCATTGACTGTTTTTGGTGAAGGTTACGGTGCATTAGAATTATGATGGAAAATTGTTAATGCAATTCTCTTCTTGATTTTTGCCTTGATTCAATTCCACAGTCCAAATTAGGTGAAGGACGATAGAGAGAAACAAAAAAAGAACCATGTTGTGTTATATATTTGAGTATCAAATGGTAACTGATGATATCAAGCTCAAGAAACGGATAGTTAAGTGTTTACTTAGGATTTTATTTTTCCAATATTCTGTAAGCCTTGTTAAGGGGCTCATTATTGTTATTTAGTTCTTGGTATAAGCAACGCATGATGCAAATGATTGGTTAGGTTTGCAGAGTGGAAAGCTCTCATCTATGACAACTGTTGTCTGGATAGCAAAACGTAAGCATGTCTGGTTCATGCTTATAGTTGAGGTCAGCCATAAAACTTGTAGAACTCGGTATGTGGTATGTGTCTACCATGGTCAATGTTGTTTGGATTAGCTTAAAAAAAATGCTTGTTCATGTTTTGACAGGTGTCAGCCATTGATGAAGTCTCTTTGGATCAGTAATTTTTGTTCTGTTGTCCTTGCATAGCCAGTTCTCGGACAAAAAAACAGCTATGCTTTTATATGTTCCACATACCTGAAATTGCTTATGGGTCAGTGTTCACATGTTTAGCAATTAGATGGTAGTTGCATCTTTCCTTATGAATCTAATTATGGAGCTTTGACTATGTTCTTAGTTAATCACATCCGTATGATATCTGCCTTCGCCTCTTATTGTTTACAACTACCTAATTTCCTCAAGCTGGTTGAGTTCCTGGTCACATATCCATCTGAGTGTAAGGTGGACAAATATTCTTATGGTTTGAGTTAAATCCATATAAAACTCTCTCTTGTGCTGCTCTCCTGTTCACCAGCTTTAGAGAGAACTGATTAGTAATTGCACCATGGGGTATTTTCTTGGAAGGATATCTTATATTATTAATTATTCCAGCTCAAGTTGCATCAGATTGAAACCATGTGAGATGAAAATGGAACGTGTTTGAGCTTTTTAAGAAATGCAGTATAATAGGATATGGTATTATTATTTTTTTGAGAAAGTATTATTAAAGTTATAGGTTGCATTTTTTGTTCTACATATGCATTACAGCATTAGATATGTATTTGGAGTGATATTGAAATTTTCTAAGAATTTGTGCTCATGCTTCAGCTTAAATAATGGTTAAACTTGTTTCTAGTTAAGATAAGATTGTAGCATCAGATAAAGAAATACGTGATCTGTGTTTAAGAATATGAGTTTCTCTATAGAGCAACCAAAACTCGAGTTTCAAATAAAGATTTGTCTTGTTCGCTTTTAGCGAAGTATAAGCTAATAGAACATTATCCAATTGCTAAAGCATTTACATCTCAGTTAGTCTTCTAATTCAGATGTATATTTTTATTAATGAAGTTTTTCTTCCTTTGGATCAGGCATCAAAAACTTGGTTCTGTTACCTCTGTCTTAAGGCATGAAAGAGCCTTAGGCTGCAAATTGTGAGTTTTGATTGAAGTTTTGTCATATTCATAATCCTGTATACCTAGGTGAGGAAGAAACAGGGAAGAAACGGATTAAAGTGCATAAGAATTATGGAGTGTAACAAAGACGAGGCATTCAGGGCAAAGGAAATTGCTGAAAGGAAGGTTAAAGAAAAGGACTATGCTGGAGCTAAAAAGTTTGCTTTGAAGGCTCAAAATTTGTATCCTGGACTTGATGGTATTGGCCAGATGTTGATAACACTTGATGTGTATATTTCTGCAGAGAATCAAGTGAGTGGGGAGGCAGATTGGTATGGTGTGCTTGGTGTGAACCCATCGGATGATGATGAGGTTGTGAGAAAACAATACAGAAAGCTGGCTCTGATGCTTCACCCTGATAAAAACAAGTCGGTAGGTGCAGATGGTGCTTTTAAGGTTGTTTCTGAGGCCTGGAGCTTGTTATCAGATAAGAATAAGAGATTGGAGTATAACAAGAAGATAAATTTTAGGGGAACACAGCAGAAATATCCTACACAAAGTGGGGTTTCATCAATGCCACCCAGGGCAAACAGCTCTCACAGTTCTAGTTCTAGCCTAACATCAAATGCTAGGACTCAGAACAGTAATAGCCGAGTAGGTCAAACCTCATTTACTTCTCCTAATAAAAAACCTGCTACCTTTTGGACTGTTTGCAATAGATGCAAGACACAGTATGAATACCTCAGGATTTATCTGAATCACACACTTCTATGCCCTAATTGTCATGAGGCCTTTTTGGCTTTAGAAAAGGCGCCACCTCCAAATGTTTACAGGTCATCAAATTGGTCTGGCCAACAGCAGGCTTCAGGGCATCATGCTGCAAATAATAATCCATTTAACTATGGAACAAATTCTTCTAGTTCTCAAAATTCAGAACATGAACAATTGGCTGGTCATGGTTCATCTAATAATACAAGCTTCCAGTGGGGTTCTTTCTCTAAGGCAGCTGGTGTTAGTAGCACTGTTCCACCACCCTGCACCAGTGCTGAAGCTGCAAGTGTTGTTCGGAGGGCACAAGAGAGAGTGAAAAGGGAGCGTGAAGAAGCTCTTAAAGCGGAGAGACTCCTGAAAAAGAGAAAAGATGATATTCGTGTTAATGGTTTTGTTGGTAACATGGCAACTCAAACAACAATGGGAAATGGACCCGGCTTGGGGAACACATTTGAAGCTAGGGGTGTTTATGAAATAGGAAGTATCTCTGGTAACCATAACAAGCCCATCAGTGAGAGAGAATTATCATTGATTGAAATTCGAAACATGCTGATGCACAAGGCTCTGAGTGTGATTTGTAAAAAGCTTAAGGAGTGGAGCTCAGTGACTGAAAAAAAAAATGCTGACAAAGTTAAAGAGAAGGTCAGAGAGAAAGAAAATAGGAAACAGAGGAGCATGGCAAATGGAGATGGACGTGATGCCAATAAAGAATTTCAGAGCAAGCTGTCTCTTCCTGCCTTTTCTGATGACTTAGATACGGGGATTGCACCTATAACAATAAACGTTCCAGATCCTGATTTTCACAATTTTGACTTGAATCGAAGTGAAAGTTCATTTGAAGATGACCAGGTCTGGGCTGCATACGACGATGATGATGGGATGCCCCGTTTCTATGCTCGAATTCACAAGGTGATCTCCTTGAAGCCTTTTAAGATGAAAATTAGTTGGCTTAATTCAAGAAGCAACAGCGAATTTGGTTTGCTAGACTGGATAGGCTCCGGTTTCTCCAAAACTTGTGGGGAGTTCAGAAGTGGCAGACATGAAATTAGTGAAACATTAAATTCTTTCTCCCACAAGGTTCAGTGGACAAAAGGCACTCGTGGAGTAATTAGAATATTTCCTAGGAAGGGGGATGTCTGGGCTCTTTACAGGAACTGGTCTCCTGATTGGAATGAACATACGCCAGATGAAGTTATACACAAATATGACATGGTGGAAGTGCTTGATGATTATAATGAGGAACAAGGAGTCTCTGTGGTCCCTCTAATTAAGGTTAATGGTTTTAGGACAGTTTTTCGTAAGCATGTGGACCCCAAGGAAGTCAGGAAGATTCTGAAAGAGGAGATGTTTCGCTTTTCGCATCAGGTGCCTAATTACTTGCTTACAGGCCACGAAGCTCCTAATGCTCCAATGGGATGTCGTGAGTTAGACCCAGCAGCCACCCCTTTAGAGCTACTTCAGGTAATTAATGAAGCCAGTGAAGCACCTGTGGAAGATGATTCTTGGAAAACTGATAAAGAGACGCTAAAGAGTGCAAGAGAAGGTGAGGCAGATGGACGGGAGGAGAGAATTGATCAAAAGCCCAGGAAGGATAGTTTGTAGAGAATAGCAAACAAGCTAAGGATGATTAACTGATGGTGCTTGCCAAGAGAACCATAAGATGCTGATGTGTAGATGATGCTGAAAAGGCTTAACATATTGAATATGGAGACTGCTGACTACACCAACATGGTGAGTTTTGATTTTGTAAGCTTGGTCCACACTGTAGAAATTGCTTTTTTCTTTTGTTGTGCCATGGTTGGATCCAAGTGCGGTCCATGTTTTTTTTTTTTTTTTTTTCTTTTATAGTAAAGCTTAATTTAAAAACTCATGCTTGATTATACTCGAAATTTAAAAGGAGTTGCTTCTGGAACTGTATTCTTGATGTTTGCATAAGCGTTTTGGGTATATATGTTGTCCTTGTGTGCGCAACCTTACTTTTGCCACACGCTCTGAGGGTCAAGTTGGAAATGCATACGAGCATTTCGCTAATTAGTTGATGCATTTTAAGGAACATGATTCAAACACTCTTCCTCAAATAAAAATAACAAAGGGAGCATCTATTTGCAGACCAAGAATTGCTTTATACATTCAATTTCTTATTACAAAATATTATTAAATAAAATTACTTAATTATTTTTAGTTAAATTATTTTTATATCATTCTTTACGATTCATTTATTTTTGGTTTAAAGATTCTTAAAAAATTCATATCCGAAAATTTTAAAAGACTTTTTAAAAATATATATTTGATAAGTTTAAAATATTTTTAGAAAGTCTTTAAATTTTTTTTATATGCATTTGCAACAAGTTTAAAAAATTTATTTTAAGGTTTTGGAAAATACATATTCGTAAGTATAAAATATTTTCATATATGTATTTTCAAAAAGTTTAGATACGCCATTTTAAATTATTTGGATATACAAATTCAAAATTTTTTTAAAAGCTTTCGAATATGAAAATCTAGAGAATTGTAAAGTTACATGAAATCATTCTTGTAAGTAATATTTTAGAGCAAAATGTATGTATATATATATATATATATATATAAAATAGTTTATGATATTCAATCTCATTCGATTATAAAAGAAATTATTTTTATGTTTGAAAGGATTTTTAGAAACGGTTGTTGTCTTTGAAAATTGAAATTATTGGTACTGATTCAATTTAAAATTGAATGAGAGGAAAGATTATTGGTACTGAATTTGAGATTATTGGTCCTGAAATTGATATAGGTTGAATCAGTATAAGGGAAGGGAATAAGGGAATGAGGATAAGATGCAGTGAATAAAAATAAATTTGTTAAGTTTGAATTTAATATGTTAAAAAAATAAAGTGTAAGAAGTAATTTATACAGCAGCTCCCGTAACTAAAAAGTAAAATGGAGAAATCTTCAAATTCCAAACCAATTCCCTCACAAAAGGGCAAAAAAAAAAAAAAAAAACCCAATTCTCTTACCTCCTTGGAACATTAGGCCAATGCAACTGTGACGAGTCAACTTGTGGGCTTAAAGTTCCACATTTTTCATGTACGATTTTAGTTGTGAATCGCTGAACTTGAAAACTGGGGCTAAACGAGTCTGTCAGATTGCAATGAGTCGTCCACATTCAATTAATTTTGCTAAAGAGGCCCATTTGACAAAAGAGACCAAACCCAAACTCAATTCCACCCCATAGAACCTGTCGGACGAATGAAATACCAAATGAAGAAAAGATTTCTCCCCCAACATTTCTTAGTAAAATACCAAATGAATTTATTAAGCATCTTCCTTGTTGTTTATAAGGAAGACATCAATGCTGAAGACTTTGTCAACAATTGGAACGGAGAATCTTAAGACCAATCTTATAATTTCTTTAATTGGAGTGCATATGGCAACAACGACAATGCAAGTTTTTTTTTTTTCTCTAAAAAAAAAGTATACCAGGAAGTTTCACAGGCAATTCCCTTTCGGGGTTAAATTCAAGGAACCTCCAATTCCATAAAGAAAACGAAGGAATTCTCCGACAAATTTACCTCCTTTATTGAAGCCCTAAGCAATAGGGACATTTGGGTAATTTTGCTTATTTTTTCCTTTTACCCTTAATATAATTTTAAATTAAAATTAAAATAACTGTAAACGCAATTTATAGTTTAATTAAAAGTGGAATTCCAACAGTATTAAACTTACGTATTCCAATGGGCTCTTTCCAATTCCTTCTGTCAATAATTAAATATTTTTTTTAAGATACTTTCAAAAAAATTAGTAAGTTTTGTCTAGTGATGAAAGATATAAGATTCGGTTGTTCTATCAATCATTAATTTGTAATTATAAAAAAATCCAATGAAATAAAATCTGAAGTTTCATTTTTACCAAAACCTTATTGTAACTTCCTGTTTATTCTAAAGATTGGTGCATGTAAAATCTGAATGAGATAAATGTTTCACAATCAGATTCATATAATTACAGATATTTTTATTCATTGAAGAAGAAGAAACTTTAAATCTTAATTTTCCAATGACAATATAAGTAATATTAGTCACTTTCACTAGATAGAGCAAAAACATTGATTCAAATATAAATTTAGGGATGTTTGATAATTTTTAAAATATTTACAAAAATTATGTTTTTTATAATATAAAATTTGAATATATATAATATATATAATGTATTTAAAACATATGTTTTGAAATTTTAAGCTTACTAACTAGTGTTTTGAAGAACATTTTAAGCTTAATTATCATAAATAAGTTACAATTTCTAATTTCTAATGTATTGAAATTCAATCAATAACTTAATTAGCCTTTAATAAGTATCTCATAAACATCCGTCAGAAAAATCATCAAATAAATTCATTTATAATAAACGTGATAACTGAGATGATTTTTGGCAAAGACATACGTATGTTTTTTTTTTTTTTTTTGCCAAAAGACATACGTATTTTAGAAACATAAATTTTCAATTAAAAAAACCGGACTGGTTTGGTCATACAGAGGCAACCCCAGCAAACATCAAAACTGGTAAATTCTAGGAAGTTTTAATGCAGAAACGAGTAAATGACCTGACAAATCTTCCAAAAACAAATATAAAAAAATTTCCTTAAACCCCGTCCCTCTCTCTCTCTCTCTATAAATAAAGACTCCTCCGTCCTCTGTCACGCTTCATCCTCTCTTTATTTTCCTACCTCGTTCCCTCCTTAATTTTAATCCTTTCGTGCCAAAGCTGCCCTTTCTTTTTTCCTTTTTTGGGTTTTCGGTTTCTACTTTCAAACCTCTGCTCATTTTCTGCTTCGTGGGATTCACCACTTTCAACTGTGTCTGCTAATAACCATCTACAAACGACTTAAATTTTGGTAAGTATTTTCTTTGCCATTTATTTCATTTTAATATGTATTATCTGAATGCTTTTTTTTAATCTTTTTACAAACAAAAAAATGTCGTTTTTCTTCATTGTTTTTTTTTTTTTTTCTCTTTCACGCATTTTTTATTTTTGGTTTTTAGATCTTTCTGTACTTCGAATTGTAGCATTGAATGTTTCGATATTGTTATGGTATCTCTCTTTTACGTTTTAAAGTATTAAATTTTCGGCGCAATTTAGCCGAAAATGCAGCGAACAAAGCGAAAAAGCGGTTGGTGTTCGTTTGTTGACATTCGAAAAGATCCCCCTAGGAATCCCGCTGACGCACGCGACTGATTCGCGCGTTAGTCCCCCGTGCCTCAAGTGTTTTCTTCTTTCCCAATTCAAGAAACGAAACAAACTGCTTGTAAGCCGTACACGTATCTCTTGTAAGTCCGATGATTGTCTAGGCCCAAAGGGCCATCGGTCGACATAAACTTCATTGTCTCTTTGATACAAGCCTCAATTACCTGGTTTTGATCAGCCGTAGAGAGACTGACACGTGAGTATGTTGACCATAGGATGTGCCACGTGTAGGATTCAGATTGTAGGTTCCACCGACCAGACCAGTTTTACAAAAGTCTTGTAGATTTAGAAAAAGTGGTGGGGTAAAAGGAGGAACGGCGTAGGCCCGCCGAGAAAATCAACTTTTCAAAGAAACGACCTCTACCTGAAAAACGGTTAGAGGTATGTTTCGATAGTGATGAGTCGTTTTTTTTGTCTACATTTCTATATGCACTTCTATTGAGGAAAACAATAATTTTGGTTTTCCACATTCCAGTTTTTAGATCATTTAATACAATAAATCTTTTGATGATTAAGCTTTTGTCAATTATACGAATTTATAATAGTTTTTACTATTCATTGTTGTTTTAAAATTTTTTTCATGGTGAATTTGTAAAGAATTTTTTGATGGATTTCTTTTTTACAAAATTTTATTAGAAAGCAAAATGAAAAAAAAAAAAGAAAAAAAGAAACCATGTTTTTTATTGACATTATGTTTTAAGGGTTTTCGGTTAATATGCACCTTTTTATATGATACTAGTATAAGATTTCTTGTGTGACTACTTTTTGAGGAGAGGTTACAGTTTATCTTTTTAAGACATTTTCGTTCATATGTTTCTGAAGTGGGCAAATAAATTGATATTTGAATCGGCTCTAGAGCGGAGAGGTCGAATTTGAAAACCCCCCCCAAGAACAACAAAAGGTTGGTACTTTGTCCCATATATTATATAAGGTATAGGCTTATATATATATATATATACGATCTTTGGTTCTATAATTCATCTCATCGCCCTATCATTGACGATTTTGAGTTTTAGACCTCAAGACATCGTGTCTTGAATTTTTTTGTTGCAATACTGTAGAAGCTTTATTCCAATTTAGTCAAGAGCAATAAAAAATCCGTTGCTTTTGCTTTTCTATGTATCTACCAACTAAAAAGAAAAAGCAGAAGGAAAACAATCACCGTTGCTAGGTTGAGAATTTAGAATCAACTTCTCCATATATCAAAAAGAAATGTACTTTTAATATTAACCTGTGTCTCTTACTAAGATTTAGGTAATCTAACGAGGGTCCAGCCTTACTATATTTTATATTCATTCTTAATATATAATTAGGTGTGAACATGGGATCGATGGTTAGCTTAACACACAAGTCAGAAGTCAGAAAGGTGTCACAAACGAGGCCATGCAGTGGTTGCTTTCACAATTAATTTACTTCCTATCAGTGCCTTAAACATTTCTTAATCGCAAGACTTTTTAGTTTTACTCACTTCTTATAAATATATATGCTATAATTAAATCATTCAAATTACAGTTCCAGGCAGTTTCTTTCTAGCGTTGATGTTTGGCTCCAAAGGACTTTTTTCTACTTATTCTAAACCGTGTCTCGACGTGTCCACCTTAAACACCCGACGTCCTGCTGCTTCTGCACTTAAAATAATGTTCATGTTTTGTTTTTTCTCTGTTCACACCTCAATAGTAGGTTCAAAAAGTATTCTCGTTTTTCTTTTAAATATATGCGCTATAATTAAATCATTCAAATTGCAGTTCCAGGCAGTTTCTTTCTAGCGTTAATGTTTGGTTCCAAAGGACTTTTTTCTACTTATTCTAAACCGTGTCTCGACGTGTCCACCTTAAACACCCGACGTCCTGCTGCTGCTGTATTTAAAATAATGTTCATGTTTTTTTTTTCCCTGTTCACACCTCAACAGTAGGTTCAAAAAGTATTCTTGTTTTTCTTTTAAAATATAGAAATAAAGAGTGTAAAGAAATAAATAAGAGGACATGTCAATTCCTGGCTGCATTGGATACACGTGTATTTTTGGAAAGTGTCATCATTTGAGGAGCTTTTGTTTATTGGGTTTGGTTATGGGTAGGCACCAGTACTGTAACAATGGTGTTTGGCTGCACTGCTGATGAGGATTGATGAGCATGTTGGGGTACTTCTTTGTCTCTGAGTTAGTGGATGCCAGGGAACAAATTAATTATGATAAAGAAAAGAATAAGGAGATCGATCGCTCGATAATTAGTTTTTGGTTTTGTGTATGCAAATAAAGTGTTCTTTTCTACATCAAATCAGCTTTAAATGTCAGATAAACTTGTGTTGGTTTTTGGCTTGTCGCGTGAACAGAAAAGGTAATGGAAAAGTGTCAAAAACCATCAAATATCTTCCATCTGGCGCATGCTCACTGGAGCTACAAAACCAGTGTTAGAACTTAGGAGGAGGCGACCAAAAGAACCTTTCATGAAAGGAAAAGTACTGTTTCATGGCAATTATAGATCAGGCCATATGATAAGATATTTAAATCTTTTAACTAATGTAGCTAGCGTGTCAACTGATTATTGATTTCTGCTCTTAATTAGAATCAGACATGCTTGGCGTTTCTCTTCTTTGATGAGTTGCAGCTTGTAGCTTTTTAGGAAGCAATCAGGCATTTCTTCAAAACCTTTAGGACTTAGGAGCCTTTGAAGAAAATATAAAGGAATGTGTCTATTAAACAATATCTACATAAAATCATGTCAATTACTACCTGGAATAGAGCTCTAACTTCCACCGTTAAAATTAAGAAATTAAGCTTAAACAACATTAGATGATCACCATTTGGGATTTCATTTTTACGCTAACAATGACTGGCTTGCTGCATTTTCTTTTATTTTTCTAGTGGTTTTCATGGTTAAACGATAAAACCCAAGATACATGCGTGTTTTCTTTTGTTTTCTCTCTTCCCATATGCCCTTGATCACTACAAAATCAATTCTTCATGACTAGAACTTTACCATATTCTAATTCACTTGGCGGCAGGAGTTGGAATGAGGCAAAAACAAAGAGGCTAGTTGAAGAGTTGAGCCAAATTGAATTTACCCTATAAATTGTTGTTTTCTCCCTCTCTCTTTTCATGTTTGTTTGAACTTTTGGTAGACTATCAGCCGTAGCTATCAGCTGCCAATGTCAGTGTCAGCTGAATCAGATGGCAACTCTAGTGAGACGAACCCTTTCCATTAGGCATGAGCCATGCAATGTCCACTCATCAAATCAACTTATCTGATAAATCATGTTGCCCTTGTTTTGTTTTCTTCTTGTTCTAAATGTACTTTCTTTTGACAGAAGCTTTTCAACTAGACAATGACATTTCTTAAACCATCCATTCTAGAGAGCAAGCCCACTATTATGCTTTTTTTTTTTTTAATGCTCACTATTATACTTTTAAAACAATTGTAAGATTATTGTTTGTCCATCAAAGTGGCCTAGAAAAAATAAGTAAAGAGTTTTGCTACATTGCTAGCGAATTTCAATCGCGAAAAGGACTAACATCATATCAACATGTTGAAAATGAAAGCTCTCCTTATAATTAATTTGGTTAAAATAATTAAAAATCTCTCTTGTTTATTATTTTATTTAGGTAAATTTTTATATTTTTATTATATTTAAATAAATTATCAACTTTGAATTTTTATTTAAATAAAATTTTAAAACTGTTAATTTATATTTAAATAAATTCTTAATATAAATTAAATATCTTTGATTTAAAATAAAAATTTATTTTGAGTAAAAATTTATTTAAAAAATTAAAATAATTCTAAGATTTTTTAAAATATTTTAACCAAATAATTTTTAAATGATTCAACTATCACTTGAAAAATTTGGAAAAAAAAAAAGGCCTATCACTTGAAATGATTTTGCTCTTAATTTAATTGTTTCAGGTTTATGTGCTATAGTAAACCACCAACTTCTAAGTTTAGACTTGAAAAATTTTTGACCTGCTTTTCTCTCCTAAACAAACAGAAAATTTAGTTGAAAATTATGGAGCATATATATATATATATATATTGTAGTAGTAATATTAAGAGCTTTTTGAGTAATCAAATTGTTTGACCTAACCAAATAAGCAATTTAAAAGAATGTGGGGGCAACAAATTAATTATGTGTTACTCTGTAAATTAAGGAGTGCAACCCCACCATTATTAAAAGAGAAAAAGCGTGAAAAAATAACCATATTTTTATGCACTAAGCGGGGATTTTTGGATAAATATACTACCATCTTTTCAAAAAAAAAAAAAAAAGAAAAACTACTATTATATTCCACCATCAATTATTGAGACTAGATATGCTCTCGGCTGTTGTAGTCAATAAATCATTAAATCGTTTCATTAAGGTTTAAGTTTTTTTTTTTACCTGCTAAGGTTTCATGGTTTAACTTTCAAAGTATTTGTTTAGTCAAATCCAAAATTAATTGATAATTATTTTTGTCAGTAAATTTCAACAATTACAATTTCTTTTTTATTTTCATGCTTTTGTTAAAAAAAAAAAAAAAGAAACATCTATTGTGAGGCTCTTTTATCTTGGGTTTGGAATTTCTCATTGGACCATCATTCATGTTTATTTTATTGGTTAAGCTTTGACTAGATTAATTTAGAACTTACCTTTTTGTTAATTTGGTGAATTTTTTTTTTCCATACACAAAAGGAAAAAGGAAAGCTTTTGTGCATGTTATTTGTTTTACTTTTTTGTTTTGCATAAAGGTTGGATACACATCTGTTTTGCTTGATTATGAAGTATTTGTGTCTATATATAGCGATATGTGATAGGAAGTAGGCAATCTAGTGGGTGAAGGATTTTCTTCTTTTCTCTTTTGAGAATCGAGGAGAGTGAGTACGTACTATTGGACAGATCTTTGAGAACAAAGCCCATTTTTGCTCTTTGGGTACATTGAAGTTTGAAGGATTTCGTTAATGGTAGTTAGAATACTAGCAATACGTTTCACCAAATGTTTATAGCTCTACTGATGAATGTCTGTTAGAAGATTTTCATTTTGTTCTTCTATGATGATCAATTTTTACTAATCAACTGTGTCGTTCAGGTAATCAAACCTCTAACAACTCACAAGAATTACTACAGGTATGCTGTGGAATAGTTCAGTTTTTGCCATATAATTAGTCATAGTTATGATTTCATCTGTTTTCTTTTTTATCAGATGATCATTTATGGTTTTCTAATGAAGTTGTTAATTTCTCTTTTCTTCTCAATCAGATGATCAAGAGAAACTTGGCAAAGTTTAACCAGACAATGGGATTTCAAATATCACATTCCAATAAGCTGAAAGTGAAACCTTTCTCGGATCCAGATAGTGATGATAATGATGATGGTGCCAATCATGGCTCTGTGACAGGGAGGGTATTAATCCCACCTGATGTTGTAGTCTATGCTTCATGGCTGGTAATTCACTACTCTTGCATCTATTTGAGTATTTCCATGCTCATTATATCACATTGCATGCCATAACATGCGTTTAAATTCTCTGTTGGCTTTGGCTGTGCATATTCTTATTTGTCTATGACTCTTGTACTATCAGGTGAAGCACCCATCTGCTTTGAACTCATTTGATTCCATAATGAAAGAAGCTAAGGGCAAAAAGGTCGTCGTGTTTTTAGATTATGACGGCACTCTGTCACCAATTGTTGAAGACCCTGATACGGCCTTCTTGTCTGCTGAGGTAGCGATTGGTATATTATTAGCCATTTAATCTTACGTTTGCACTGCATGCACATAAATCTCCACCATTTCACCAGACAAAATCATCTGTTAATCATGATTTTAATGTACCTTACAATTTCTTAATTTTAGATGCGTGCGGCAGTTCGTGAAGTTGCAAAGTATTTTCCAACATCTATAATCAGTGGTAGGGGCCGAGATAAGGTAAAATGAATCAATGAACTGTGGCCAATTAAGTCACTTTTGAAAACTATTACAACTGGTTTATTGCCTAGTTTATGAAGCTAAGCTAATGGTGTCAAGCTTATCTTTGATTCAGGTTAAAGAGTTTGTACAGTTGAATAATGTTTATTATGCTGGGAGTCATGGATTGGACATAATGGCACCACCTCGAGCAGTGAAGTCCTGTGATAAAAAGGTTGTTTGCTTTTTCTAGTTAACCCTATAAATTAAGCTGGCAAAAGTATGCTTTTAGAGATCAATTTTTTACAAGGTCGGTTTCTTCTTGGATTCAATAGGGGAATGAAGGCGCCTTTCAACCTGCTAAGTTATTTTTACCTGCAATTCAAGATGTAAGCTCACTTTGCACAGGAAATGTTGGTCTTTCAGTGGACTGCATTAGGCTTTTCCACTAATTGTGTATGTATTCACATAAATAAGTTATTTGTTTATGACAGATAACCATAGAGTTGGAAGACAAAATTAGAGAAATACAAGGTGCTAGGATTGAGGATAACAGATTTTGCATCTCCGTGCATTATCGGCAAGTTCCACCTCAGGTAAATTTTAAACAAAAAGATAAATATATGGAAAGAGGTTGCAAATGCTGAGATTTGAATTCCAAGTCTACAGGATATATTATCTTATGAAGGTGGTTACATGAGTCAATTAAGCTAAATTCTAGGTTCATTTCATTATTAATTAGATTTAACTCTAAAGTAGTAATGATTTAATTAATTTCTTGTAGAACTGAATGTTCATATGCAGGACCATGAAATTTTAAAGGAGAAAGTGAAATCTCTAGTTGAAAATCGTCCTCAGTTTCGTCTGACGGAGGGTAAAATGGTAGGATAAATGATTATCTTAATTCCCAAAGTTTGTGTTTTGTAGAATGATGTGAAAAACTTTTGTCCTAGATAGCATCCTTCTGAAATTTGTGTGTGTAATTGATATTGTAAAGGTTTTAGAAGTCCGGCCATCAATAGAGTGGAACAAAGGTGATGCCCTGAATTATTTGCTGGACACTTTAGGATTTAGCAATGCCAAAGATGTTCTCCCATTGTACATTGGAGATGATCGAACTGATGAAGATGCATTCAAGGTATATACAAAATGAATCTTGTTTTCTTTGATTCTCTGTCTATTCGACACTTTTTCTTTATTATTTCAGGTCATAGCAGGTAGAAGGGAAGGGTTTCCCATCATTGTTTCTTCCATTCCAAAAGATACCATAGCTTGGTACTCCTTGCGTGATCCATCAGAAGTCTTGGCTTTCCTTTTACGTCTGGCAAAATGGAAGAAATCGTAGGATCCCTTCTTCAAGTAGATCTTTGGGTCATGTCAGCGGTTTATATATATGTACTGAAATAACAGTGGAAAAGGGTCTTAAAATGGATGGATCACTTTAGGGGTTTTTTTTTCAAAACTATTGTGTATCCATCCGGCTTTTGTAAATGATAAATCAGTTAGTTGTCATGTTTAAGCTCAGGCTCCAAGACCCTTTCTTTTTTTTTTTTCCGCTTTCCTTTTTAATGTGAAGCAATTTGTAGCCTTCACATTTACTGGTTTGAATCAGTGGTAGTCGCCCTGAGAAACCAGTGCGGCCATTGTCCCCTCGAAGCTTTTGTAACTTTTTGGTATGTTGGATTATTGAATATTATATATGAGAAGGCCTTTTTAATTGGCTTATTCAACCAGCATTTTGATGTTTTACATATCCATTCACTTGGTGTTTCACTTTCACATCAAGAAAAAACAGAACAACTTTGTAAATTCAACATTAAATTAAATGAAAGTTATCCACATGTTTTATTGTAATTGACGAATCATGAGAGGCCAACATTGGCCCACCTCTCCAAAATGAATAGTTAGGCAACAGAAATCGTCCAAAACGAAATGGGCAAAAAAGAGTTTGTGGACATGGACGTATAACGGACGACTGTCTTTAAAGTCCAATTCCAACTTGTGGTGTCTGGACCTTATGCAGGCCACAACTAAGATGCGGAAAGAGGATTTGATGTCTTTTATATATTTTGGATTCTTTGGTAGGTCCTCCACCACCATAACCAAAGCCACTATTTCAAAAGGGAACGATTTTATGCTAGAACTAAATTAAATTGAATTAAATTTCATATCTTTACTTATCTATTAAAAGAATCTCTGAACTTAATTAAATTTATTTGTTTGGAAAATTGTTTCTGTCTGATTCTAAATCGCAAATCTCCAAGAAATTATTCTTTATTAGTTAAGATCTTGGTGTTACAAATTTTATAGACTAAAAATCCATTTTTCATTTTGTTCATGACAAGTATGCACTTCATTTTCATTCAACCATATAATGACAGATGTACCCAAAAAAAAATCTCTTATATAATATATTAATGTCAGAATTCCAAACTTGATCACAGTGCGACCAATATTAAGGTCCAATCATGCTTAAATTTTTGCAAATGAAAGTGGATTCTTCCAACATATCATAGATCTAATATCTCATTGCTTGTAACTATGTTATTCGCTTCCTTAGTTCTATAATATGTTGATAGTGGATTTAGATTTTAACACAGAATGTTCCAAGTAATTTGGCACGTTCTTTGTCAGGATAAGATCACCTGGAAAAAAGGTTAACCAACATGAACTTTGAACCTTTATGCTCTTTGAGAGAGGGAATCCATTACATTTAATTGGAAAGTGAGGAGAATAATTAATTTGATATTGATTTTTGTTTGTACTATATGCTAGAGATTGACCCAAAAAAAAAAAAAAAACCACTTCTTCTGTATCATATTCTTCCTGTTCTCTTCCTTTTCCTCCCATTTTTCCTGGTTGGCTAAATCATTTCATACCAGCTATTAAGTTAAAGTTGCTCTTAATCTAAAAGCATATGGAGAATCTTTGCTAGAATCCCAGCTTCTTCTGTGTCCAATGCAGCTTAGGTCAGATATTCTTGGTAGGGAGTCATTTTCCAAGACTTAAAATGTGTCCAGCCTTCTCTTTTATAGAGGTAAACAATAAAAATTATATTATGTTTGTTTTAATTATTGATAGTTTAAAATATGGTATATCTCACGTTGGATAAAAATATTTAATTATTAATTAATAAAATTTAATTTTTGTATTAAGTTTATTCATATTTTAAATAATTATATTTGATAAAAAATAATTATTATATGATAAATAGTCATAACTGTTTGAATATAAATAGATTATTATTCCTAAAAGTTATGATTATACAAAAAAGTCATAACCATTTAAATAGAAATTTATGTTTGTTTATTCATTATAAACAATTATTTCTGTTCATTCATTACAAATAACTATTTTAGTATAACTATTTTTATTACTTATTGGAGAATTTGAGATTTTATTATATCCTAAAAGTATAATTACCTTTAAGAAAGTGTTATTCACGCCTCAAAACTAATTTTTTTTTACTATTATTTCTTTTCTCTTGTTTATTTTTTTAATAATTTAAAGGCAATTATGCCATTATATTTCACATAAAGAAAATAAAAGGAAAAGAAATTAGCAAAGTTGACAAAATCGACTTCTAAAACAAGCATGGAAAGCTTCAATTATCCAAATAGTTTCTTAGTGAAATAAAATACGAGATATGTTTTTTGTTATTATCTTTCTAGTTTTTATATCCAATTAAAAGAATTGATGATTAATAATTCATAAAAAACCTTGACTCTCATTGAATTTTGCTTTCTTTATTGACTATTCTTTTAATTTTTTGATTCTAAATTAAATTATTTAATTTATGATTCATGATTTTATAATATATTATATGTGGATTTTCTTGATCATATCATTAAATGGTCATAAGTATAAAATAGAGATGGATTACTTGCTAGCTTTGGTTATGAATCTTTTGTAGCCTTGTTATATTTTGTCAATCATTGGACTTCATTCTATTTTTGAGGTTTATCACCAATAACTCTTTTGTATATCAATTAATCAAGAGGTGGGGAAGAATAAACCTTAAGGAAAATGGTATCATTACACATCTTGAAGCCTTTCTTCAATTTCTCATGATTTTTCTAAACCCTAAGTTCTAAAAATCTTAAGGTTTTATTTTCACAAGTTTATAAGAAATTTTAATTAAAGGCTGTTGATAAAAGCAAATGACAGAATTATGATCTACCACTGGAATTTAATCAAGAAAAGAGGCATGCCTTGAATATGGCATTATATGTGGCATGGGAATGAATTTTTCATCAATTTAAGCCTCTCGTTGTTCATCTTTCTTTGCAAGCCAAGAAAAGAAAAGTTTATTGCTATATAAACCAAGTATGTAATTTATGATTCTATATCATTGGGAAAAAAATTAGAAATAACCCATTGTTTAAGAATACAATGGCTTATAAAATTGAGTTGTGTAAACCATAAAGAAAAAAAATTAAGGTACAACTTAATTTGTGTTTGATGGTCAAAATAAGTAAGATAAATAAACTCAAGAATTTGGAATATAAATGTTTCTACTGTATAACTATGATTGGTAAAATTGGCTTACAAAAGATAAGAGATTAAAGAAATGCTTGTTTAAAAGAAAATATCAAACTATTATAACTATAAAGTTTATAAAGGTCTTGGTTCTAAAATATTATTCCCGTTGATGATTGAGGTGGCAACTATCCCTTAGCTCAATAAACTATGAAGTAAGGAGTTATGCGTATGTTGGGGTGAAGAAGGTGGCTTCATATTGGGAACTCGGGGTTTTCAATTGGGAATTGGTTTTTAACTTTAGGCTTTTTCGGTAGTTGAGGACAAGAATTGAAAGAAAGACAAAAAAGAAAGCTATAAGCATATCTTTTATGGAAAGAAAATAAGTTAGCCGGCATTTTTGCATAGCCCAAAAAACCCAAAGCAGATCATTACAATTGCACTTGATAGGATACCAGTCCTAAGGTAGCTATCAGCTATCACCAAAAGATATCTGATCTCAGATGCACATAGAAAACATGTAATAATATAATAAGGTAAAATGAATCATCAAGATAATCTTCGGCTATCTCATGAATTAGACCAAAACACCCAAAATTATTTACAATCTATACTACCTTTAACATAGTGGTGCCCCTTTCACAGAACACTTTATAGATAGGCTTTTTTCTCCGATTGTAGCTTATTATTATAATGAGTTATTCAAAATTCTTTCGACAGGTTTGAGAGCGTAGGGGGAGACCAGAGGTTTGGAACCTTAAGCCTAAGGCTTTTAATGGTGCTCGGAGTTCCAATAAAGGCCTTTGGCCAATAGCATTTATAAATTGGTTGAATTTATAATATAATGAGTTAATGCAAGTTATTATATCCAATGAATATACAATTTCATGAAGAATTGTGGCTAGTGGTAATATAAAATACATTAAGTATGTAAATCTATGTATCCATATATTTTGTAAATTTTATGTTAGTATCATTAACTAAATTTTGGCCAACAATTTATGCTAATTAGATGATTGATTAATAGAAAAAGCATGTCATTAAAAATATTAAAGTATTTGTTGGTTACTAGCATTTTAAAGGATGCTCATCAATGTCTAATTAGCTATGTTTATAAATTAGAAAAAAACATGCAAATTCAATATACCAAGGGCACCAGTACATGTATGTGTTTAATTACATTTTGTGATGGCATGAAAAACATTTGTACAATTTACCATATATTACAAAAATGAAATGAATGGATGAAATTTTCTTTCTTATACATATAAGAAAGATATGGACTATAGAGATAGAATGCCATCATCCAATTAATACATTATTGGTTAAAAACAATGAAAACATTTTTGCTTCTTGTACTTGGAAAAATGGCCTTTTGTAGGCTATTAAAATAAAAAGTGCACAAGCTTCTGTGGTTTTCAATAGTTTCATGATAATGGCAAAGATGTAGTTGGTTATACACCATATTAACATATAGGCTTATATAATAATATTGGCTTGTGAAAGCCATAAACGTTAGAGTTAACCAATCAATGATTTAACCAATTCAAATTCATCCCGAGTTTTTGCATGAAATATGAGTAGAACTCATATTATAATTATTGTTTATGCTATTTTATGAAAATGATTCTTTGGATTCATATTTTATAACTAGCATTGACATGGTGATTTAGATATGAACATATTAATCACAAAGTGATTGAAAAGTATTTGAAATTAGAGTTAAATATACTATAGACTCTTATTGTATATAGGCATATTGGTTTTATGAGTAAAGTTTGAATTTATTATATATCTAAAAATGTTATAACTAATTAAAAGTGGTAAATAATAGAGATATATACTTAGGCGGCACAATGATGAAGAAATAAAATTCTCATAATATTTTGAAATCAAGTTTATAGGATTCAATATTCATGAACTTTGAATTGGCTATTAGGCAGTTAATATATGCATTGAAAACTCATGATAACATTTAAGATAGTTGGTTGTCACTAAAAGTCATCACTATAAATGAGATATTTTAATAGTCAAATCTACATGATTTGTAGGTATGATGTGGATTATTATGATTGGCTTAGAATAGTCATAAGTCAAAATTGATGCCACAATCTTAATCATATTGTGGTAATTTTTGTTATGTAAATGGTCTAATTTATGGATTATACAAATGATTTATCATCTATGGTTTTATTAAAAGTTTTAAAATATAGTGAAAATTT